CCGTGCCACCCAGGTGCCCTGTGGCAATATCAGATTTCAGATTCAAACTTAAGGAATTGAAGAATATCCAAAGTTGGATGTGTCCTTAAAGGTGATTTAGTAGCATTCCTTCCCTGAACTTGGATTTCTGGTCTGGTTTTTTTTCCACCATACCTGTGCAAAGTAATGTGAATAGTTATAAAGGGGGTTTCCTCCTTTTTTCCCCTTCTTTTACTGCCTTTGACCCTTATGCACAGTTATTGTAGCGTAACATGTTCAGAATTTAGGAATTCCATATATGGAGATGGGCCATCCGGGATGCACATATTTTTGGATTGTGTGTGTGACGTGAGCATGATACGCCCTAGGTGAAACATGCTTCATTGCCCATTGTGATCACAGGGAACTTCACAACTTTTTGTCTTCCTTTATCACTTCTTACTCTTCCCTTTGGGGAAGACAAGTACGGTCGTTCAAGTTTGATCTTCTCCAAGAATTCTGCTCTACCCATTCTAACCTTCACTAAACCTGTCCCTTCTCTAAACTTCTTTACTATTAAGACCTACACTAAATGAGCAGTGTAATGCTTTATTATGTTATTTGGCTTAATTTGCAGGGTTTTTTTTTACCCCCTTCAATTAACATTTTCTTTTTTCCTGCCATCAAGCCCAGAAAGGACTGTAAATGGCTGTGAACAGAGCTTTTTTTTAAAAATTTTTTATTGTTATGTTAATCACCATACATTACATCATTAGTTCTTGATGTAGTGTTCCATGATTCATTGTTTGTGCATAACACCCAGTTCTCCACGCAGAATGTGCCCTCTTTAATACCCATCACCAGGCTAACCCATCCCCCCACCCTCCTCCCCTCTAGAACCCTCAGTTTGTTTTTCAGAGTCCATCCTCTCATGGTTTGTCTCCCCCTCCGACTTACTCCCCTTCATTCTTCCCCTCCTGCTATCTTCTTTTTCTTTCTTCTTAACATATGTTGCATTATTTGTTTCAGAAGTACAGATCTGTGATTCAAAAGTCTTGCACAATTCACAGCGCTCACCATAGCACATACCCTACCCAACGTCTATCACCCAGCCACCCCATCCCTCCCACCCGCACCACTCCAGCAACACTCAGTTTGTTTCCTGAGATTAAGAATTCCTCATATCAGTGAGGTCATATGATACTTTTCTTTCTCTGATTGACTTATTTCACTCAGCATAACACCCTCCAGTCCCATCCACGTCATTGCAAATGGCATTATCTCATTCCTTTCGATGGCTGCATAATATTCCATTGTGTATATATACCACATCTTCTTTATCCATTCATCTGTCGATGGACATCTTGGCTCTTTCCACAGTTTGGCTATTGTGGACATTGCTGCTATAAACATTGGGGTGCACGTACCCCTTCGGATCCCTACATTTGTATCTTTGTGGTAAATACCCAGTAGTGCAATTGCTGGATCGTATGGTAGCTCTATTTTCAACTGTTTGAGGAACCTCCATACTGTTTTCCAGAGTGGCTGCACCAGCTTGCATTCCCACCAACAGTGTAGGAGGGTTCCCCTGAGCATTTTGTTTTTAAGTAAGCAGTTAAGTACAATTGAATGCCTTCAATGTGCCAGTTAGTAGGGCTCTAAATATGGATGAAACAGAAAAATGGACCCTCCCCTTAAAGACCGGAATCTAGCTTCTAATGGAATTTAAACTGTCCTTTTTTTAGTAATCAGCGATGAACATTTATAACTTCACTAGAAAGAAAGCTCCACTGGGGCAAAGCTCTTTGATTCATTCATTGATAGAGCCCAAGCGCTCAGGTCGGTGCCTCATATATAGTAAGTGCTTAATAAATATTTTGTAAATGAACTTACATTATAAATTTTTATATAGGGCAATCCCTGCAGGACTGTTCATGTAGGCAGATCACATTGTATGCCTTTCACTTCATTTACGTGTCTCTCCCCTCCTGTACCCCAGACACGTTGTTCTCCTCCCAGAAAAGTCAGTCTTGAGTATCCTTCTAGAATAGAATATCCTTCTAGAATAGAATATCCTTCTAGAATATTACCTGTACATATATATATACCTGTGTGTATATGTTTGTATTTTTTTATACAGATTATAGCCTGTCAGTTTCTTTCTCTTCAAAATGTATCAGATAGTTTTGTATCAGTGCATAGTCATATTACTTTTAGTGGTTACATAATATTTTATTGCCTGCACATTTTGTAATTTATTTAACCAGAAACTTATTGATGGATATTTAGGTTCCTTCCTTCCTCCCTTCCTCCCTACCTCCCTCTCTCCCTCTCCCCCCTCTCTCTCTCCCTCCCCTTCTTTCTTTCTTGAGAGAGAGAGCGTGGGCATGCATGCATGCACGTGAGTGGGGGCAGAGGGAGAGGGAGAGGGAGAATCCCAAACAGGCTCCATACTCAGTGTAGAGCCTGGCTGACTCGGGGCTCGATTCCCATGACCCTGAGGTCATGACCTGAGCCGAAATCAAGAGTCAGTTGCTTAACTGAGTGAGCCACCCAGGCACCCCTATTTAGGTTATTTCTGATCTTTTGCTCTTGTAAACAGTGGTACAATAAACATCCTTCCTCAAAAGTCATTTTGCAACCTCCGCAAGTAGGAATTTGAGGATACATTCCTAAAAGTGGAATTGTGGAATTCCTTTAAGTTCAAAGTGTTTATGCATTTATAATTTTGATAAGTATCATCAGATTGTTCTTTACAGAGAGTGTGAGTATGCCGTTTTGCTACACTCTTACTGATATTATTATTTATCAAAGTGTTTGATCTTCTCTGAGCTGATGGCTTAAAAATATCTGTTGTGGCTTTAATATGAATTTCTCTTATATGAATAAGTTTGAACATCTTTTAAATGTTTACATACTTATTTCCTTTTATGTGTTCTGTCTTCATAACTTTTGCCCATTTTTCTGTTTGAGTATTGATCTTTATCTTATTGATGTGCAGTAGTAGCTCTTTATATATTAAAAAGTATTTCCCTGGCTCTGCTTGCTTGTTTATATTTCCATGTGATTTATAGAATCAGCTTGTCTAGTTACCAACCCCACTTAACTAAAAATCAATCCTGTTGGTGTTTTTATTGGGTTTGTGTCAAATTTATAGACAAATTTAGGGAGAACTGGCATTCCCATGGTGTTCAATTTTACATCCCAACAACATAATATGTCTTTACATTTGTTTAAATTTTCGTGTCCTTCAATATTTTTAAGTTTTTTTCTTATAGACAATACACGTTTAAGAATCTTGCTGGATGTTTTAATATGCACACATTTGTAGCTAGCATTTTCTTTTTTTTTAATATGCATTTTTTAAAAAATTTTTTTCCAGAGGTACAGATCTGTGATTCATCAGTCTTACACAATTCACAGTGCTCACCATAGTACATACCCTCCCCAATGTCCATCACCCAGCCACCCGAGCCCTCCCACCCCCCACCACTCCAGCAACCCTCAGTTTGTTTCCTGAGATTAAGAGTCTCTTATGGTTTGTCTCCCTCTCTGGTTTCGTCTTGTTTCATTTTTCCCTCCGTTCCCCTATGATCCTCTGTCTTGTTTCTCAAATTCCTCATATCCGTGAGATCATATGATACTTGTCTTCCTCTGATTGACTTATTTCACTCAGCATAATACCCTCTAGTTCCATCTACATTATTGCAAATGGCAAGATCTCATTCCTTTTGATGGCTGCATAATATTCCATTGTGTATATATACCGCATCTTCTTTTTCCATTCATCTGTTGATGGACATCTAGGCTCTTTCCATAGTTTGGCTATTGTGGACATTGCTGCTATAAACATTGGGGTGCACGTACCCCTTCGGATCCCTACATTTGTATCTTTGGGGTAAATACCCGGTAGTGCAATTGCTGGATCGTATGGTATATAGCTGACATTTTCTTAATTTGACTATTGCTTGGGATATATTTTTCCTGCTTGAAAAAACTTTTTCTTTTGTCTGATTATGGCTCATTTATTATGCAACTCCAGAGAGCACACTTGTGTTGGTCATTCCTTCCAGAGTAGTGATGAGTCATTGTGGTGATAAAGGACATTATTTCCTAATTCTTAACTTCGGGAAGATTTCTGATGTTTCCCTATTAAAATAATGATGCTGGCTTTGTGGTTGAGGGAGATCTGTATTTTATTGTGTTAAGGAACCTGGCCGCTTATTATTTTATTGATGTTTTGATTATGGAAGGATGTGTTTTACTGAATATTTTGTGTATCTCTGGTGACTCTTTGTTTTCATCTAAGAATATGATGAATTTTAAGTGTAAGCCTTTGCATATTGAACTATCCTTGTATTCCTGTGATAAGTTCTACTTGGTCATGGAATGTTATTCTTTTAATGTGCTGTTGGATTTGGGTGCTGTTTCCCTATATTTAAGAATTTTGCATTGATTCTCAGATGTGAGATTTGTGTGTGTGTGTTTTCTTTTTGGATTTTGATACATATTATTCTGTCTTCATGGAAAGAATTTGGAAACTTTTCTTTTTCTATGCTCTTAAAAAATTTAAAGTATATGGAAATAACCCACTCCTTAATTGTTTGGTAGAATTTTTCTTTGAAACTCTTGACACTTACGTTTTCCTAAGAGATGGTTCTTTATCTTTATCTTTTTATGGTTTCATTAGCTTTTCTCCCCTTCTGGGGATGATTTTGGTAGTTAATATCTTCCTAAAAAACTGTCCATTTAATCCAGATTATCTAATTTATTTGTGTGGACTTGAATAAATCATCTCTTAGTGTTCTTGGTATCTGTGGTTATTTCCTCATCACTTAAAGATTTTTTTGATTAAAGAATAAAAGACATGTTAAAAATATTTGAAAGAATGTGTTTTTTTAAAAAAATATGATGTAAAAGGATATAGTTCACTTCCTATCCTTTTTTTGTTAAAACTTAATTATTCCTGAGCTAATGATTATAAAACCCAGAACCTGAGATGAGACATTTCCTTTCTGATCCCGCTCTTCTCTTTTTAACAGGCCCAGAAGAGGAAAGTGAGGATGACCCTCAGCTCGAAGGCAGAGACCCTGATACTTGGCATGTCGGTTTTAAGATCTCGTGGGACATAGAGACTCCTGGCTTGGCAATACCCCTTCACCAAGGAGACTGCTACTTCATGCTTGGTAATTAGGAGGGTCAAAACTATATTGATACTCTGGTGTCTTAAGTTTTAGATTACTGGCTACATATTTGGAATATATCTTTTTTTTTTTAAGATTTATTTATTTATTTTAGAGAGAGAGAGAGAGTGTGTGTGTGTGAGCGAGTGGGGGAGGGGCAGAGGGAGAGACTCTCTAAGCTGACTTCCTGCCAAGCTGGAAGCCCAACGTGGGGCTCTGATCTCACGACCCATAAGATCATGACCTGAGCCGAAAGCAAGAGTCAGATGCTTAACCGACTGAGCCACCCAGGTGCCCTTAGAATGTGTCTTTTGAAAGAAGCTTTTTAGGTATTTTATAGCGGTAGTGACTCTTCTACATGGAACTAGTATTTTTGTTTTTATTCCCTCATTTTTCTAGGTATTGCTCATTTGTAAAAGTTGCTTTTTTTTTTTCTCCCCCATTCTGATTGTTTATGGAGTTCCCCAAATGTGCTAAAGAGTTTCCAGGACTTTTCATCAGAGTTACTCAATCATCCAAATGAGCTTATTAGTGTGAGGTAGTAAAATGATTCCCTCTGTATATAAATTCTTAGTGAAAGTTTTTTCAGGTTTGAATTTAGTTTCTTCTCAGGAGTGGCTGACCTGACTACAGGGCCTTTCTTTCCACTTGTCCCTGAGTTCTTTGGGAGCGGGATTTCACCTGTGCTTAGGCTAACCCACGATGCTGTGGCATTTTTGCAACTTTTGTTTTTGGCTCTTTGCTCTGTTTTGTTTGGGGTTTGGACTTTCTACTTGTTTTCCAACACACAGCATAGAGATGGTATCCTTTCTTATTCCTGCCTGGGGGGGAGTGGTCTACTCGTATTGGCTTTATTTTTTTTATTTTTTATTTTTATTTATTTTTTTTTAAATTTTTTTGTTTTTTCGTATTGGCTTTAGAATTGGGGAGCCCCAAGGCTCAAAGTGAACATTTATGAGAAGAATTATTTCTCAATTAATTGAGTGTATGTAGAGGGCCTGCTATGTTCTCCATGCTGTGTAAGGTTCTAGATGGACGGATAAAACTTGGTCCTTGCCTTCTAGAAAATCAGAGCTTGGATTAGCTCTTTAGGTCACTAACTCATTAAGCATTTTCCAAATTTCAGTCATTTACATGTCAGCTTCAGGGTTCTCACCATATCCCTGTGCTACCTGGACTGTTACTTACGTAATATTTTTCTCTAAATAAATTCACTTTTTTTCACTGAAGTGGATTTACTTTAGAAGGAGATTTTATAACACTATCTTAAGCGGAAGACCAGTATCACTTGGTTTATAGTTAGAAGAGGTTTATAAATATAGAGAGAAAGTGAAACAGTATTAAGGACCTGCTACTTTGTTGGCTGAAGATCCAGAGTCCTGTTCTGTCTTTGTTAAAGGAGATACTTGTCACTGTTAGAGAGGTGTTAACTGTATAATGGTACCAATCAGAGACTTTCTCCTTGCCAGCAGCAAGACAGGGAAGATCATTATGTAGGGAATTACTTTCCCATGGTGTGTGTGATTCAGTGGTGCTTAACATTGTGTCCCTTTACCTCTTCAGTTCTTCTCATGGGCTGATTACCACCTTTGCTGAACGCTGATCTAAGCAAGCCCTGCATCTCTTGCTTTCCATTTGCATGTTGCTCTATAGTTTATGATTCAGTTTCACATAAGCAGCCTCATTCACTCTGCAAACAAGCTTGTGAGGGAGATGGTATGGAGATTGTTCTTTTCTTAACTAATTTGCCTAAGGTGACTGGGTTGGTACAGGGGATTAGGATGGTTTGCACGTTTCATATATAGTGCTTTTCCTGCTCTAAAAGGGACCATTTAGACTTTATTCCATTACACTGAAATCTCTATGTGGGAACATTTTTAGGCTGAAGGTCATCTCTTCCTGAGACCCTCTCCTGCTTGCCTCGTGAACTTAGTTTTTATTTTGAAGTCTCTGCTCCATCAGCGAGCATCATTTGTAGGTCACAGATTATTACTTATTTTTTATTTTATTTATTTATTTATTTATTTTTTAAAAATTTATTTATTTGACAGAGAGACACCCAGCGAGAGAGGGAACACAAGCAGGGGCGGGAGAGGGAGAAGCAGGTTTCCCACGGAGCAGGGAGCCCAATGCGGGGCTCGATCCCAGGACCCTGGAATCATGACCTGAGTCGAAGGCAGATGCTTAACGACTGAGCCACCCAGGCACCCCTGTAACTCATTTTTTTTTTTTTAAAGATTTTATTTATTTATTTGAGAGAGAGAATGAGAGATAGAGAGCACGAAAGGGAAGAGGGTCAGAGGAAGAAGCAGACTCCCTGCTGAGCAGGGAGCCCGACGCGGGACTTGATCCCGGGACTCTAGGATCATGACCTGAGCCGAAGGCAGTCGCTTAACCAACTGAGCCACCCAGGCACCCTGTAACTCATTTTTTAATGTATCACCCAGATGTGGATATTTACCTTGAGTATAAATGGGTTTCAGTTTCAGCCAATAAACCACTTGCCTTTGGTTACTTTGTTCACGAGTTTCTGTTAGCAGTTTGTATCTTTAAAAGAAGTGAGAGTCATTTAGTGCCATTCTAAATTGCTATATTAATTTTCTGCATGTAGAAATAGTAAATATACATTTTAGAAGTTCATCTGCCATCCATTTATTTAAGAACATCTTGTGTGTTCTTTTCTGATTATGAAAGTAAAATACATGTTCATTGTAGAGAAAAGAAACACTGAAAGGTATGAAATGAAAGAAGAATATAAAAATCAGATTCATACCTGTCTTGGTATATTCTTTTTCAGTCTTTTTTCTGTACATATGTGTATCTGGAATAATAGTATGTGAATAACCACATTTACTGGGGACTAACAACAAGTCAAGCATTCTTTTAATCATCTCCGTAACACCAAAAAGTAGATGATCGTTAAATTGCGCAAGAATCAGTTCAGGTTAAATTGATGTAGTGACATAGCCATGGTTACACAGTTAGTAGGGTGTGTGGATTGGAACTTGTTCTTTTGTCCCATTTGGGCTCTGACACCCATGTCAAACCACCCCCTTCCTCCTATGTGGGCGCTGACCCCCACACTGGGCTTCTGGGCCCTCCTGTCTCTCCCTCACCGTGATGCCTCTGCTTCACCTAAAGGCTTTAGGACTAAATTTTTCAGGAAGGAAAGAGAAGAAGATGACAAGAGTGTTCTGTGTGCTTCTTTCTTTTCCCTGTCTTTTTAAAGTTATGTTTCTCTTGCCTCAGAAATAGATTAATAACAAAAATACTGTATGTTATAATGAATATACATTTTTAAATATACATTTGTCCCTTTAGCTACTGTAGGTGATAAACCAAAGCAAGTGCTATTATTTTATGGGAGCTGATACCCAAGACCTAATACCTGTTCCTGATTTACCAGCTCCTGTGTTCAGATCCAGGGGAAATAGCTGGTAACTTACTAATCTGGGCCAGGCACGGCACAGTGTACCCAAAGTGTGCTTTTAGAATATATTCATTTAGAATGTATTTTCTTTATTATTTATTATTATTAAAGAAAATTATTCTTTTCTTTATTAAGATGTCACAATCAATTTCTAAAAGGAGCTTTCCTCCATCTCCTCTTAAATAAATTCAGCCAAAAATTAAAGCAACCGTAGTCTATTGCTGCCTTTTTTCTCTTTACTTTTTAGAATCCAAATCCTACAAGGAGCCCCGTGGAGGGACCTCGGCTGTGTGCTGATACCTGAAATCTGAACTTCATAGCACTTATGAAAAGGAAACAGTTTAGCTCCATTTATAATAATATATTGGTCTACAGAGGAAGTGCAGGCTGAACCCTGCTGTCTCAAGTAAATACTCCAGGGGGTCTGATGGGGAACGTGTCGGGTGCCTGTAATAAATCCGCTGCCTGTGGAAGTAAGTCAAGGCCCTCCTGGCAGTGCCTAAGGACACGCTTAACCGGGGTTGTCACAGTTTTACTTTTAAATTGGAATCTTTGCCCTAATCTCAGAGTTAGACATGACCAGATTTGCAAACAGATTTACAATTTTCACTAATTTTCCAACCAGGACTTCAAAATACACGTAGAAGGGGAAAAAAAAATACATGCTGGTCTTAGAGTAGGATGATTTACTTTGCCACAGATGTTTTCCATAGAGTGAATGTAACCAGGGAGTTAGGGACTTAAAAAGTGGCTTGGAGACAAACTGTGGGTTTATTTTTTGTGGAACAGATTATACAGTTCAAGGGACATCAACCAAATTATGTTCATTAACCAGGAGCCAGGTGTGGAGATGGGTTGTGTCAGGACAGAGGTGAGTGTTAGACATTTGGGGCAAACCTCCTTTTTATCTGCCTCCCCCCCTCCCCCACTTATTACTTTTTCCTTGTCACTGTTCATTTCTCTGCTCTCTCTGGCTTCTTTATTTTCATTTCCTTCAGTCCAAATTAAATCTCATTTTCAAAGAGCTATCTCAGAGCTTCAGCTGCCAAGTAAAATTTCCATGCCCGCCGCCCCCCCCCCCAAAGCAACGTAAATTGAAATGCATGCTGCTGCTTTTTTTGGTTTTGCTTTCCTTCACCAACAGTTTGGGGCAGAATGATGAAAGGCCATTTCCTGTCAGATGACCTCGTTCCAGACTCACGGCATTGTCTCTCTTGGCTGTGCGCTGTTTATCTTTCTCCCGAGTACTTCTTGATACTCGCTTTGCAGGGTTCCTGGGAGGCCAAGGAAGAAGTGCTTTGCAAGCTATGATTTGCATGTGGGGGCCGACTGTGAAGACTGGGAGGAGCGAGCGGGGCCATGGCATTATGGGGGAGCCAGCGAGGCGAGTGGGTGACAGAAGAGCACTGAGTGTTGTGTCCTTATCCTGCTTTCTGCCAGTTTGGCACGTCACCGTTCCATACATGTGTTTCCATGACCACATAAAGGAACCGCAAGAAAGGGCCATCTCTTCACCAACTGCTTTGTGAGGGGGAGAAGAGTTGAATCAGAGCTCTGTGGTAACCACACTCTG